GATGCTGCCCTCCAGTGGAAGAGGTATCAGTACCACATGTATATTGGGAAATACTGACTTGGCAAGAGATGGACCAGGAAGTCACCTGATAAGATGTGTCTGGGAAATCCCAGTCTCATAATAACTGAGGCAGGATAGCTAGTTAGGAAAAGGAGGGAACGTGAGAAGTGAAAGGAAACCCTCTCTCGGTTCTGATTTCCATCTTTCCCTGGCTGACACCCAGGAATTTTGACACAACTCACTAGACCACTTACAAAAGAACTGCACTCCCTTCCTGAGAAGCATCACAAACAAGATTGTTAAAATGGCTAATGCTATGCCTTAAGTCTTTATGTCATAAATAAGAACCCCTTTGAAAGAGATGTCCTCGTTGCTCCTCTGTCTATGAGCCTGCACAGTGTACCTAAAAAGCTTTCTCTCAAGGACAGAGTTCTGTAGAGGAGCAGGTGTGCACTAGCACACACACACACACACACACACACACACACACACACACACTAATATCAAAACTTAGCTGCAGTTAGTAGCTTCAAAGCCTCAAGTCACAGGCACAGCTCCTGCTGAGGCTCTCGGATGCACTCTTCATGTACATCTTGCCTTTCTGATTAATCAATAAATGCCAACTTTTGTTCACCCTGGATGATTCTAAAACCCTCCTTGTGTAACAATTTCCTCCAACATAAAACCTTCCATGTTAGAAGGGATCACAGGAAGTTCTAAAAAGTGTGTATGTGTAAAACATTCCATCTTGCATGGAAATTCATTAGTAAACAGGAAGCAAACAATTCAATAGCTTCAGGAAGTCCCTGAAACTCTCCAGATGCACTAGGCCCCTCCCTCCCCAAGTATATATAAGCCCTAAGGAATTTTGAGAGGCTCTTATACAAACTGGGCTGTTTAGAAGAGGCTCAGACAGCTACCTGGAAAGGACACTTTCCAACCTGTTGAGCTTCCTGTAGGCTGTGCAGTACATTCTGTTTCCATCTTTCATGAACTGTCATCATGCTGGCATGGGCTTTGGTTATGCAGCTGTCTATGAGTCATTTCTGCTCCTCTAAGCAACCCTTCACCCATACTTCTGTAAATAACCCAATAAACTCATTGGTTCACTAAAAAAAAAAAAAAAAAGTTGTTGATCACTTCTTAGCCTAGTTTTGGTGGTTCCCATGCTTTTAGATACCCGTTTCTATTTCTTTTAGGATTTCAAATTTAGAAGCATATAGGTTTTTAAAGTATTCCCTTATAATGTTCTGGTTCTTTTTGGTGTCTGTTGTGGTGTTTCCCCTTTCATCTCTAATTTTTTTTGATTCGGAGGTGCTTTCTTTCTTTTGGTTAACTGGGTTAAGGGTCTCTCAATCTTGTTTATCTTTTCAAAGAACCAGCTCTTGGAATTGTTGATCCTTTGTATTCTTCTCTTTGTTTCAATTTCATTAATTTCTGCCCTGATTTTTTTGTTATTTCTTCTTGTCTGCTGGGTTTGGGTTTCATTTGCTGTTGCTTTTCAAATGTGTTGAGTTGCAATGGTAAGTCATTTATTTGTGTTCTTTCTGATTTTTTGATGTCGGCACTTAGAGCTATAAACTTCCCTCTAAGGACTGTTTTCAGCGTGTCCCAGAGGTTTTATTGTATTGTATTGCCCTTTTCATTTGGTTCCAGGAATACTTTTATTTCTTTCTTAATTTCTCCTTTGACACATTTGTCATTCAGGAGTGTGTTGTTTAATCTCCATGTGTTCATGTTGTTACTAGGATCTGTGAAGCTTTATTGCATTGTGGTCTGATAGAATGCATGGAATTATTTCAATCTTTTTGTATTTGTTGAGGCTTGTTTTGTGCCTCAGTATGTCATCGATTTTGGAGAAAGTTCCATGGGGCACTGAGTAGAAAGTATATTCTTTGGTGCTTGGTTGGACTATTCAGTAGATGTCTGATGGGCCCATTTTATGTGTGGTATTGTTTAATTCAGATGTCTCTCTGTTAATTCTCTGTCCTGTTGACCTATCTAATGGAGACAATGGGGTATTGACGTCCCCTGCTATCAATGAGTTGGGATTAATCTGGGTCTTAAAGTCCTGTAGTACTGTTTTTATGAAGTTGGGGGGTACACCAGAGTTTTGTGAATATATGTTCATGATTGTAATATCTTCTTGGTCCATTGTTCCTTTGATTGGAATGAAGTGACCCTCTTTATCTCTTCTGATTAGTTTCAGTTAGAAGTCTACTTTGTCAGATATTAGAATTGCAACTCCTTCTTTTTTCTTAGTACCATTCACTTGGAATATTTTTTTCCATCCTTTCACCTTAAGGTAGTGCCTGTCCATGAAAGTGAAATGGGTTTCTTTCAGACAACAAAAAGATGGGTTTGTTTCTTAATCCATTCAACTAGTCTGTGTCTTTTGACTGGGGAGTTCAGTCCATTGATATTTAAAGTTATTAATGAAAGGTGTATATTGATTCCTGTCATTTTGATTTTTATTCGCATTCTTGGTGTAGCTGTGAGTTTCCACAGTTATACCTTCATTGAGTTTCTTTCTGTTACCCCTTGGGTGTAGTCATTCCTTTCTTCAGCTCTTTGTATTGCTTCACAAACTCTCTGAAGGGCTGGTTTTATGGACATGCATTCTTTCAGCCTCTTTATGTCATGGAAGGTTTTTCTTTCCCCTTTGACTATAATAGACATTTTCGCTGGGTAAAGTAATCTGGTTTGGCATCTGTGGTCATTTAGAATTGGGAATACTTTGGTTCAGGCTCTTCTGGCTTTCATAATTTGCACAGAAAAGTCAGCTGTAATCCTGATGTGTTTTCCTTTATATGTGACTTGTTGTTTTTCTTTTGAAGATTTCAGTATCCTTTGTTCTGTATGTTTAGTGTTTTTACTATGATGTGCCATGGAGAGTTTCTTTTCTGGTCCTGTCTATTTGGTGTTTTGTGTGCTTCTTGTATTTGTATGGGCATGTCTTTCTTTAATTTTGGGAACTTTTGTTTGACAATCCTGTTGAAGATCTGGTCCATACCATTATCCTTCCTGTATGCCTATGATTCATAAGTTTGGTCTTTTTATGGTGTCATACAATTACTGTATATTCCATTCTTCCGTTTTCCTAAATTGTTCATGATCTTTGCTTGAGTGGTCTAGTTCGTCCACTTTATCTTCCAGTCATGATACTCTGTTTTCCATTTCATTCATCCCATTGGTGAGGCTTTCTCCTGTCATTTCTAATTGGTTTATTGAGTGTTTCACTTCCTTCTTCTTTTCAGCCTGAGTAGTCTTCAATATTTCTAACTCTTTTCTGAATTCATTCAGAAGTTTATCCCTCTCTTCTTTCAGTTCTTTGATTTCTTTGTTTGTGTATTCTTTAAATTCACTAAATTCTTTTATCATCTTTATAACTGTTTTTTTGAATTCCATGTCCTGTGTTAGTTATCTCTAGGGGGTTCTCATTGTACTCCTGTAGAGGACTGTTGGTACTTGGTGGGGATATATTATTTTGGTTTTTTCATGTTATTATTTTTTTGCTGTGACTTTGACATGTGGATTTCTTTTGTAGTTTCTGATTCTTGTGTGAGACTAAAGCCTTCCTTTGTTGAGTTTAGGTCTGCTTCTTTTTTTAAACTTATGTGCCTTTGTGGTTTACTTGTTGGGCAGGAAAAGCTGGTTGGTCTAGGCTTCAGGTTCTCTCTTTTGATTTTATACTGGAGGGGCTGGATGGCTTTTGTCCTATGGCTCAAGAGTTCTCACAGAGGCCCAAGTCGGGTGAGGATCAGATGCTCTCAGGCTTTCTCCTAAGGCCTGGATCCCTCCAGGAAAAATGCTGGCCTCAGGAAGTTGGGGGCTGGGCTGGCCTTGGATGAGGACCTGTCTTAGGCAGGCAAAGGTGAGGTGGAGGAGGGACCAAGCAAGGGCTCCTGAGGACTAGACCAAGTAATTGGCTTGGTCTGGATGCAAAGGGTAAGGAAGCAATGGGGAGTCTGGGCCAACAGGGAAGTCCAGAGGTCTGGGGTGCCTAGAAAAGAAATGGGCCAATGCCCACGCTAGAAGGAGAGACAGGGTGGGGGAGCTGGGAGAGTGAATAAGGCTGGGGGAATCAAGGTGCAGTAGGCATGGCCGAACTTAGCCAGGAAAGATGCTGGCCCCCATCTTTGGCATTTTTAAGAAGAACTTTATCCATGGAATCATAAAAGATCACTTTGGTGTGTCTTAGAGTCAGGGTAATGTGGCTGTCAGTTATCCATATTTTTGCATACATAGTAATTTTTTCTTTCTGTTAACAAATGGTAATGTTTTCTTTTAAAGTTTTAGAATTGAGCTAGAGAGATGGCTTCCTGAGTAAAACTTACTCAGCATACAAATGTGTGAACCTGAATTTGAACCCCCAGAGCCCTCACAGAGCTGGACACTGTAGTGTTTATATCCGACAGCCAGCTCCTACAAGGAGATGGAAGGTGGAAACAGGAGACTCTGGAAGCTCCCTGGTGAGACAGCCTGGCTTAGACAGTAGGCAAAACAAGGTGGGAGGCGAGGACTGACACCCAAGATTGTCCTCTGACTGCCACACATGTGCCATGGCATGCATATGTCCACATTCACACATACCAGGCATGTACACCATACACACATATATGATATGTACACACAAAAAATGATTTTTAGAATTGTGGCCTACTTTTTTCTTTACTTTATGGACTTTTCAACCAACCTTTTGCTTTCTGCCTTCTACCCTCAGGATTTTATTCAGAGCCCTGTGTGCACACTCCTGAATTCAACTATGCTTCCTAGTTCCCTTCCTTAGTTCCCTTCCTGTCTTCCAGTTAAAAGAGAGACTCACAACTCTCCAGGACTACAGCTGCCTGCCCAGGAAGAAATTCTAGACAGTGTGAGCCTTGGGAACCACTAGACTACCTGTTTAGGGCTCGCCGTTCCCTGCACGGGGCATCTCAGGCAGTGGCTAGCCTAAGCAGTTGTGTCCAAATGGTCCTATGTGATACTTCTTTGTCTTCCAGGACAGTCCTGAGAAGACAGCTGCATCAGAGCGAGGAGACTTTTACATCACTGGGGACAGAGCCCATGTAGACAAGGATGGCTACTATTGGTTCATAGGGAGAAATGATGATGTAATCAACTCTTCAAGGTCAAGATCCCTTCCTTTTCTTCCTCTTTTTGAGGTTCTGTAGGGGAAGGAAAACCACTTAGAAAAGTTTACTTTTCTCTTCCAGCTACCGGATTGGGCCTGTTGAGGTGGAGAGCGCCCTTGCTGAGCATCCAGCTGTCGTTGAGTCTGCTGTGGTCAGCAGCCCAGACCCTATTCGGGGGGAGGTATGCAGTCAGGTCAAGAGCATGGCCTTGATTTTCTTACCCATTAGTGCCCAGTGGAATAAGCAGGAATGTCCAGATCCCTCCCCTTTGTGTTTTATCCCTACCCCCATTACCACAAAGTTGAAACACCACCGTCAGTCACACATTCCTTTTGATTAAGCATTAGTCTTATGCCTTTAAAAATGTAAATACACTCTACAAAGACACAGTTGGGAAAATACAAAGCTTTAGTTTGAGGCAGATATCAAACTGGATCCAAGTAAAGCTGCTTATTGGACCAGAGATCTCAGTGTCAAGCACAGGCTCAATCATCCATCCTCACCAAAAATGATCAATGAGGCTGTGACTAAGAAGGATAGCCAACTTGAAGGAAGACAGAATATGCTTCCAGATGATCCTAAAATATTTAATAGACTGGAACTTCGCAAGAGAAATACAAATTGTAGGACAGCTCAGTTCATGGCAGTAGGAGTGTGTGGCGGAAGCTGTTAACGTCACAGCAGGCCAGGAAGCTGAGAACCAGGCAGAAACCAAGGGCTTTGTATAGCCTTCAAAGATCTACTCCTAGTGATCTACTTCTACCAGCTAGACCCCACCTCCCAACGTTTACAGAATCCCCAAAACAGTGCCAAGAGCCTGGGAACAAGCATTCAAACCATGAGCGTGTAGTGATCACTTCAACTCTAAATGCTAGCTGTTAATCCAGCATGATAGTAAATGCAAAGCAGTTATTATGTGGAAGTTAGAGCAATGTTAATTTGCCTCTTGGAAGCATCATGATAGAAGAGGGATTCTCAAAGTCTGGTGCCTAGAATATTCATAGTTGGGTTCTTATTGAAAATACAGATTCATACATGGATAAAGGGAGGTGCTCACAAGACCCTACTCCCTAGCTGAGGAGGTATTGGCAGTTCATAGCTGCTAGGGGTGGGAGAGTCAGTTTTCTTTGGTGGTGTGGACCCTGGTAGATTGTCTATGCTCCAGTGGATGGCCCTACACCCACGCACATATGGACAACATTAGTTGTACTCAGTGATGGGGAAGGACTTGACATTGGGAAGAAGATGTAGGGCATCTGGGAGGAGTTGGGGGAGTAGCAGGGGATAGATATAACCTAAATACATTGTATACATATATAAAACTATCAGAGAATAAATTTCAAAAAAGTGAAAAATAATAGAGATTTGGAGACTTCAAGTCAGATTCCCTGAGTCAGATTGACTGCAGATGTGTCCCCAACCATCAGCTTTAGTCTGTAGCCCTTTGTCAGGTAACTCCCCAGTAAAATTTGAGATCACTAACATAAGATGAGGGAGGTGTGACTTGCATCCATGTACTAGAGAAATGACACCTGCAAAAGGACATGCTGTTCTGCATGCTATGAACTGACTGGAGCTATGACAAATGGCTGTCTACTCAAAGTTAAGCTGTGTAGAGTACTTAGAACATGGTCTGGCATACAGAAAGTACTCAGTCAATGCTTAATGGTTATTACAATAAAGAATGCTCTTCCTAAAATCCAGATTTTCTGAACATGAATTGACAGTGAGCTTCCTACCTTTGGAAGTGTGTGGGGACAACGAACCACCCTTAGCAAGGTGCAGAGTTGCTTTCATTTCTATATGTCCCCAAATATGAACTCTTTTTTTTCTTAACAATCTTTATTCTCCCATCTCCACTAGCACCCTTCCATAGCCCCCACTGAAACTCTGTCATCCATGTTAAGGACCAATGTGTCAAGTCTGTGTCCCCAGATGTTCCCCAGTGCAAGTCCATCCACTGAGGTCTAGTCAGCCTATCTAGAGTCTCAAAAAAAAAAAACATTCTTTTTAAAAATTTTTTTAATTTATTTTTATTTTATGTATGAGTGTTTGCCTGCATGTTTATAAGTGCACCAGTGCATGCCACTGGCCGTTCTTGCAGAGAACCTGGACTCTGTTCCCTATATCCATATGGCTGATAACAACTATCTGGAATACCAGTTCCAGGGCATCCAGTGTCCTCTTCTGGCCTCTGTGGGAATATTAAACTTTTTTAAAGCAGAGTTTAATGTTGGTATATATCAGCATCTAAGTGGCCTTTCGAAATCTTCCATTCCTTCCAGAAACCACGTTTTGAAGATATTTTCAAATATATCTGTTGTGTATGTGCATGCATGTGCCACAGAGTATATGTGGAGGTTGGAGGACAACTTGTAGGAGTTGGTTTTCACCTTCCACCGTGTGGGTTCTGGGCCTCAAACTCAGGTCATCAGGCTCAGTGTCAAACAGCCTTACCCACTGAGCCATCTCACCAGCCCAGATACCATGTTTCTAACCCTTATTCCCTCCAGAAATCAAATCTGGTCAGAGAAAGTCAAAGTGCGGAATGTTCCTCAGAATGCCTGGAACAGAAGTAGCTCCATGTTGACTGATGGGAAACATTCCCATGTGTATGTTCCAAAGCCTCACAGTCACATTGTTTTCCTGCAGGAAAACCTAGAAGCAAATACCATGGGCATTTGTAAGGCTTCTTACTCCAGTGCATGTTCATCTTAAGAAGGTCAATGCTGGGGCTGGAGAGATAGCACAGCAGTTAAGAACACTGACTGTTCTTGCAGAACACCCAGGTTCGAATCCCAGCACCTACATGGCAGCTAACAACTGTCCGTAACTCCAGTTCCAGAGGATCTGACAGTCTCTTTTGTCCTCCGTGGGCACTGCATGACACGGGTACACTTACCTACAGGCAGGCATACACATAAAATAATTTTTTTAATTAAAATAAAAGAAGGCCAATGCTGGCTCCTAATCACTCCATTGTAAGGATGGGAAGTAGATTGGAAAGGAAGTTCTGACATCACTTCACAAAGCCAGTGTTTTCAGTTGTTGATTCTGGAAAGGCAGGCAGCCAGGAGAACTAGTACTGTGCACTTCACCGGTTGTGTATGCCCAAGGAACCGAGAGAGGCTTCATGATGAGCTGGTGAAGGAGGGTGCTTATGTCTATCTTAGGGAGAAAAAGCATCATTCCTGAAGGCTTGATCCTTCTTGGGTCTCCCCTTGCAGGTGGTGAAGGCATTTATAGTCCTTTCTCCAGCCTACTCTTCTCATGACCCAGAGACACTGACCAAGGAACTTCAGGAGCATGTGAAGAGAGTGACTGCTCCATACAAGTATCCCAGGAAGGTAAACACTTGGCATCCTAAAACATAAGTTGGGAAGTCATATGGGTGCATGCTCCCTGACCTCCCGTGTAGGACTGGACTCTGTGTCAGAAATCGACATACCCCCACCCCATTGCTCTTCAGCGAAGTCTGCCTCTTGCTTTGCTGGACCCTCCCCAGAGTACATTATGCTCTTATTCTATGAATTAACCTGAGGATGAGATGCACGAGGGTGGGGTCGGATGTGAGATGCAGTTTGGGCTATTGTCACTTGGAGAAAACCCTGAATCCTGGAAGCTTCCCAATGAAGTAGCAGAGGGTAATGGGTCAAGGCAATAGTCATTCTGAGAAGTGATGGTCTCTAAGCATAATCGTAACTGTGTTTGGTCACTAGGTGGCTTTTGTCTCAGAACTGCCAAAGACTGTTTCTGGAAAAATCCAAAGAAGTATATTGAGAAACCAAGAGTGGGGGAGATGAGGTGTAATCACAGAAGCCCCCCACAGTGCTCTGGAGATTCCAAGAGGAAAAGGTGGGATGATTGCTTAGCCCCTGCACAGAGCACCATTCCTTCAAATCAAAGGCATCAAAGACACTCAGCTTCTAAACAGCCATTGCGGATGATGTTGGAAAAGGCAAGAGTATCACTGAGCCAAAGCATACAGCCACCGCCAATCTAACAAATGCTTCCCTCCATGTCTGTCTGGAAGCATCCTAATCCACCAGCCAGCCATTGGTTTTACTAATTGCTTTCAGCTGTTCCCAGGACAGACAGCTCACCATAGCCTTGGGGCACCTGTGTTCTCATTCTGCCAGTGGGAATGTAAAGCTTAACCCTTCGGATGAGCATCCACTTGGAAACAATCATACCCTTTTGCTTAGAAATTCTGTCTTTAGGAATCACAATAAAAGAAAATATTCAAAATGTAGAAAATGTGTGATGCACAGAGACATTTGGTGAAGCATTGTTTGAAAAAAACACACAAAAAAATCAATGTCTAAACAATAGGGAAATGATTCAATCAATTAACATGAACTCAGCCTATTCTATAACTATCAGGATATTTAAGGGCAGTTTATTATGTCTTGGGGAAAACATAAGCTATATTAAGTTTAAAATTTGAAATAGTTTGTATGCTAAGGAATCGTTGCTCTGAAACAGGAAAGCTATGGCTGGGAAGTCAACAGGGAGGAGATATTAGTAGCAATTGTCCTGAGACTTGAGTAAGGAGTGAAGACAATAGACAGTTACTTTTTCCCTTTTCTCTATATATTTCTATTATCTTCCAAGTTTTCTTAATAAGTAGATACAACAATTTTAATGAAGAACTTGTTTCCAAAAAACAGTGGTCCAGGGCTAAGGAGATTGGTTCAGTCGGTAAAGTGCTTGCTGTACAGCATGAGGACATGAGTTCAGATCCTCGGCACTGGGGTAAAGGCTGGATGCAATTGTGCATATCTATAACCCTAGTCTTGCAGTGTGAGGCAGAGACAGGAGGATCCCTAGAGCTTGCTGGCTAGTCAGTCTAGTCAATTTGTGAGCTCCGGGCGCAAGGAGAGACCCTATCTCAAAAAAATAAAGTGGAGCACGGTGGTGGAGGACACCCAGCATCAGTCTCTGGCCTCCATACACATACGTGTACATGTGCATGTGCATCCATGTACACACACACACACACACATACACACAGAGACACACACACATACACACACACACACACAGACACACACAGAGAGACACACACACACACACACACACACACACACACATACACACACAGAGACACACACACACACAGACACACACACACACACAGAGACACACACACACATACACACACACACACACAGACACACACAGAGAGACACACACACACACACACACACACACACACACATACACACACAGAGACACACACACACACAGACACACACACACACACAGAGACACACACACACATACACACACACACACACAGACACACACAGAGAGACACACACACACACACACACACACACACACACATACACACACAGAGACACACACACACACAGACACACACACACACACAGAGACACACACACACATACACACACACACACACAGACACACACAGAGAGACACACACACACACACACACACACACACACACATACACACACAGAGACACACACACACACAGACACACACACACACACAGAGACACACACACACATACACACACACACACACAGACACACACACACACATACACACACACGCACACAGAAACCAACAACAACAGGGCCGGAGAGACACACATGGTGGAAGGAAAGAGCCAGCTCTCCCAAGGTGTCCTCTGACCCCTACACACATGCCGTGACACTTGTGCCCCCCCACACACACACAATATAGAAGTGGAGAAGAACAAGAAATAATTGAGGCTGGAGAGATGTTCAGTTACAAAGAGTATGTACTGCTCTTCCAGAGGACCAGAGTTCAACAGTTCCTATCCTACATCAGGCAGCTCACAATTGCCTGTAACTCCAGCTCCAGGGGATCTGAAGTCTTCTTCTGGCCTCCATGGGTGGCTGCACTCAGGTGCACATGCCCACATTCAGTCACACACACACACATACAATTAAAAAAATAAAATAGCCGGGCACGGTGGCACATGCCTTTAATCCCAGCATTCAGGAGGCAGAGGCAGATGGATCTCTGTGAGATCAAGGCCAGCCTTGTCTACATAATGAGTTCCAGACCAGCTGTGGCTATGCAGAGACCATGTTTCAAAAGGACCAAAATAAATAAATAAATAAATAAATAAATAAATAAATATCTTCTTTTAAAATGAGGGGAAAAAAACTGAAACAATCACCAGGAAAGGTAGCGCATGTCTTTAATCCCCACACTGGGCAAGCAGAGGCAGACAGATCCCTGTGAGATCAAGACCGGCTTGGGCTAGATGTTGAGTTCCAGGCCAGCTGTGGCTACAGGGAAACCCTGTCTCAAAACAAACAAAACTCCTCCCAAAACATCTACACCTCAATTCCAGCTCCCTTCACACACCAATCTCAGTTGCTGGTATTATGTATTATCCTAAAAGACACAATGACCAAAAGCCATGTTTCAGGTTCCAAATCTGAAAGGCTTGGCCCTGGACACCTCAGACTAACCCCAAGAGGGAGAAGCTGATGGAAACTCAAGGCAATACAAGCGCCCTCTGCCCGAAATCCAGCATTTCCCTTCACTAGATAATGTGTATTTATTGAACACCTACTTAGTGTCGGAACCTGTGCATACAGTAGTAAGAAAAGTCAACCTGTGTGAGTTTTCCAGGGCTGCTATAAGCAAATCCCAGGCCTGGGTGGTTTAAATAACAGAGGTCCACTTCCTCACAGTTCTGGTAACAAGCCTAACACCAAAGTGTTGGTAAATTGGCTCCACCCTGAGACCTTTCCTTGGATTGCATGTGCCTCTGATGCTGTTTCCTTCCTGCATACGTACCTGTATCTCCATCTCCTCTTCTTATAAGGACATCCGTCATGCCCCGTTAAAATGACATTTGGATGCCTATAATCTCACCTTAGGTTAATCACTTCTTTAAGGACCCTGAATGCAAGCAATCTTATAATCCCAAGTACTTGGGAAGTTGAGGCCAGGGGTGAGGGAGGGTGGCAAGTTCGGGTCCTGACTGTGTTACAGAGTAAATTCAAGGACAGCCTGGGAGACTTAATGAGACCCTGTCTCAAAATAAGGAAGTCAAAAGAGGGGGCTGGAGATGTGGTTCAGTGGTAGAGCATTTACCTGGTTCATAGAAAGCCTTAGGTTCAATCCCTAACACCACAAAAGCGAGAGAGTATACACATGAACACTCATACATAGAATAAGGCATGCATGGCAAAAATGTACACAAACACACACATGCAGCTACACACTTTGTGGTCACATTCACTAACACTTCACAATGTTCATTTTCTTGTGCAGCTAATTTATATACTCAGGTGTCTATAGAATGTTCTAGGATAGATTCTATCAGTAACTCAATGAACAGACAGGCAGAGATCTCTGTCCTTGCAAAGCTTACATTCCAAAGGAAGGCGACAGAGGCAGAAAATGAATAAAAATTACATTCTATGATGTTAGATGATTAGAAATAAGAAGCACAGTACCCTGAAATAGGGAGTGAGGGAAGGAAGGGAGAAACGCCAGTCTGGAGGGGAGTTTCCATTCTAAGGTGACCAAGGTAAGCTTTATTGAGATGGTGACAAAAAAATATTTCTGGCAAATATTCAAAGGTTTAGAAGGATGAATTCAAGCAGATACCTGGTGGGGGAAGCAATCTGAAAAGAAAGAGCCATATGTGCAAAGGTCCTAGGGTGAGGTGTGCCTTCAAGGAACACGAAGAAAGCAATATTTGCTGTTGTGAAGAGAGCAAGGGGTGATGGGACAGGATAAGAAAAGTGAGTGTGATGGCCATAAAGATCCTTCTATGATTATGCCAAAATGTTGATTTTTAATTTTCTATGACAGATCAAGAATCACTGGTGGGTTCTAAGTAAAGATGTATCGTGAGCTGACCTCTGACTCAAGTTTACCAGTATCCAAAATTAACTGAATTATTTTACATGTTATTATTTGTCTTACTTCCAAACTAGAAAGAATGTATTTGTCACCCCTATGACTACTTGATAAGTATCTGTTGAGTTATCAACAACAATCCCAATGACGACAGGGTTCCTTGGCTTGGCTTCTGAGAACTGACTCTAGAAGCCCCTTATCAAATGGCTCTGCAGGTCTTCTTGTCCTACGTTCTGGGAGAACGAATGACCTTGCTGTGTGTTCTTGAATTCATGTGATCTTAAATGCTCTTCCTGAACCATACCCCCTAATCCTCCATCCATGAGATCAGAAGGAATGACCCCAAGACCTTCTGTCTGTGCAGGAGTTAGAGCCTGAGTCAAGACATCCCCTCCAAGTCTCTTATTCAAAGTTGTATTGGCTTTGATTTAATGGGTGTTTGCAGAATTTAACAAATTCTTTCATATTTGCATATTTGCTTTTTGACTAAGTAGCATGAACTTGAATAATCAAATTTAAAAGAAAAAACCTTTAACCTGGTTCAAAGTCCAACTAACTCCCCTCTTCAGAGGCAAGTGAATTTAGCAGTTTTGTTTTGTTTTGTTTTGTTTTGTGCTAGTGATGGAACCCAGGGCCTCACACATGCTAGGCAAGTTCTCCATCATGGAGTATACCTCTAGCTCAGAGTTCAGCAATCTTGAAATGCTCTACACAAGGGCTATTCTCATTAGCTTTGTGGTTGGGTGTATGCCATCAAGTTCAACATCCACATGTCTAGAGATGTGTTTGATTACCCCCACTTTCCAGACAAGCATTCTGAAGTTCAGGGTGGGGGTAACATCACTTCTTTATGAGCATACAGCTCAGGAGCAGGGAAGCTGGACTCAAACCTAGTCAAACTTGAGATCCTTGGTTCTCCACAGCAAGGTTCAAGTTAGTAGTTGTGGATAAGCAGGCTGCCAACTCCTGGAGCCTAGGAACGATGAGAGTGGTTTGCCTAGGAACAAGGCGGTGTGAGCTGACGCAGAAGAAAATGGAATTTCACCTTGTGTGGGTGGATAATGATACTTCCAGAAACACAGGTTATTAAATGAAAACCAGTGGTGGAAACGTAGTGCCAGGTATGAGATGCCACTCTATAGGTCATTGTTCAGGAAGGAAGGCCTCCAGAAGCCCCAAAACAATATAGACTATAACTGCTGCTGTTCGCTAACCACCAAGATGGTAAGACTTTTTGCTGAAGACACCACGCACTTTGATTGCAGGACATAGAGAAATCACACCAAACCGTGGTGGACGCTTCCTCCCTGTTGGCTAGCTTCCAAAGTGCTGGGAGGTGCTATGCAGTGTGCAAGTGTGGGAGACTGTCATCAATAGTCTTCCCAATGGCCATCGTGTTAAATTGTCTTCTAAATTTTATATGCATAAATTCACTCCCTCCAAGGCTCAAGGAACATTGCAGAAGAGGGAGTGGAAAGAAGGGAAGAGCAGAGGATGGGAGGATGATGTGAAATGCTGTTTTCTGCCCATGACACGGCTGTTGCATTCCTGAACTCACAGCAATAGTAATTACCTGAACAAGACTGGAGCCATCAACATCCCATCATGGATGGAGGAGGGACTCAGGAGGCCCCACCCTTCCCTGAGGAGTTACAGGGAGTTGCTGGGGAGTCATATTCTTCAGTGGTGTAGCCACTGGTAAGTTACCCTTGCACAAGTAAATAACCTGCCATGCTCATGGAAGCAACCTGATTCAACTCAAGGAGTCATTTAAAAAGCCATAAAAGTAGGAAAGGGGGTTGTTGAGAAGAAAAAAGGCTTTGGTGGGAATGGAAAGGGCATAAGAGAAGATGACAGGGGGGACTATGGACAAAGTCTAATCGAGACTGAGAATGGGGTGTGTGAAATCTGAAAGCATCTTTAAGCAGGGAAGAAAGGGTGAACTCTATACCTGCCTCTGGTCCATGAAAAGACTAAATCCAAAAGAGGTGAATAGCTTTGATGCCTCTGATGGACACCTACAATGGGGCAAGGGTACCTTCAAAGGAAATAAAGCAACAGGAAGAATAGCCTAATGGATATAGAGAACCTGAAAGTCTTGAGGAACCCCTGACCAGGAAGCGAATCTTCATCCATACAACCCTTCAGAAAACATCTTCTTTTCTAAGCAGATCCAACTATTCCTTAAAGTCCAGGCATACAGCCTTATGGAAGAACGGCAACTCAGGTGCCTTCTACAAGACTTAGATTTCCACTGTAGGTATGGGCATCTACGTTCTCCTTTCTATGGTAAAGTGCCAGACTCAAAGGGCACTGGAGAAGAGGAACAGAGACTGGTCCAGCTGAACTCGTTCTTGATGTCCAGCAGTCTCACTGAAGACAATGGTGAGGGGCTCTGAGAAACAATGGCAAGAGGGTTTTAAAGGCAACACAGAGAACTTCCCAGGAAAACATGGAAGAGGCTTCAGGCTGTGTGGTTCTGAGGCAATCGTGAACATCTATTACAGAAGTCTAGAAGAAGATGGCAGATAGAAGTACGCTGGTGAGGAGGAGGAGGACTTCTCTGACTTTTCCCTGAACAAGTGAGGAGCTCTTCACAGGTGGTGGCTATAGCTCTAAGAAGAAGGTGCTTTGAGCCCTGTCATCCCGAGGAGCAGCCCAGGGAAAAGATCAGAGGGGTCCTGTCCAGCTTCTTACCTGTTCGGTGGGTATGTCTCTTCTTTTGCCTTCCAAGACCCTTTTGAATTATAGATTCTACATTCTTCAAGGCCTCTAGCCTCCCCAAAATATTCTTAACATAAGTCTTGGTGCATTTGTATCCTCTGCAATTGGCTATTTCCAGATACCCAGGACTCTATTTTGCCATTGGCCTGTGGTCTCTGTTTCCAGTGGAACATTTGAAGCTGAAGGAGGCCTGTCCCTACCCATGTAGAAGGACTGGGGCCTCAGGATCACCTCGCCCGAGGGAAAATACAGGATCCTACACCGGGCTGGTATGTTTTTCCCTTGGGAAGATCTTCCTGGAAAACATTTTTTTCTCCACAGAGCAGAGCCCTCTGATGTCCTGCTCTACTCTGGCAGCCACACACACAAAAAAAGATGTTTCTCTGGGAAGCTAGGGTTTGAGGCTGGCCCTGTGACCACAAGCAAATTACTCTTCCATTCGGGGATTTCATCTTCACCCCTCAGTGATCTGAAATGGAGGAGATGTAGTTCAGTGGTACAGCTCTCACCTGGCATGCACAAAGGAACTGGATTCATTCAATCTCCAGTGCTAAGAAATAATGAAGAAATTGGACTTTGGGATTGTGTGTGTGTGTGTGTGTGTGTGTGTGTGTGTGTGTTTCCACATGCCATGGCACAGCTGTGGTGGACAAAGGACAACTTTGGCTGCTGTGCTGCACACTGTAGACTGACTGGTCCTGTCTCTGCCTCCTATATTGCCTTTGGAGTGCTGGGAGGAAAGACACATACCATCACATCTCATCACATCTTGTGCAGCTTTCCCCAGCCTCTAAGCCATCTCCCCAGCCCCACCTTTGTGTGTTTGACCTTATGAAGGATTCAGAGCTGCAGAACAGCTGTCAGGCATTCTCTTCATACATCCCAGTAATGTGCTTCATAAGAATCAGTTCACCAAGGGGCTAGAGAGATGGCTCAGCAGTTAAGAGTGCTGGCTGCTCTTCCAGAGGACCCCAGTTCAATTCCCAACACCTATAAACGTCTGCAACTCCAGTTCCATGGGCTCCAATGCCCTCATCTGGCCTCTGTGGGCTTTGTAAGACACAGGTACACTTACATATACGTACACTCATATACGTAAAAATAAAAATAAATTTTAAAAAATCAGTTCAGCATATCTTCATACAAACTCTGAGAGAAGTATCAGTGTGAACGCAACTCCACAGATGGGGATACTGATCTAGCCTGCTCAAAGGCCAGAAAACATGTCCAGGGCCCTTTAGCCTCTTTGAACTTCTCATGGTCAATGGAAACTAGACAGCACAAGAATGAGCTTCAGACTTTTGGAGAATTGTCAAGGAACTCTGGGGAGGAAAGGAAAAATAAACTACTACCCAGATGGCTTTGAGGCCAGGAAGCCTTCAGCTCAGGTTCAGTGGCCATACTTCTAAGAGGCAGGCCCAAGTAAGGGTTCAGTGGGGGTTGAGAAAAGTCACACAAAAGGGAGAGACGTAATGATGGGGAACTCAGCAAAACAGACAAACAGATTTTAGTTATGTCTTTCACCTGCCATGGCAGTTGTGAATCAATATCTTTAAGCCTTCCGTGTTTATCCAGAGAGGATTAAAGTAATTCCCAGAGCCCTGGGTACAGCTCAGTCAGTAAAGGCGTTTACCACCAAGCCTGACCCGAGTTCAATCCCAGGGACTCCTGGCCGGGGCGGGGGGGTAAGAGAACCAACTCCCACAAGTTGTTCTCTCTGGCCTCCATATATGGGCAATGGCACATGTGCACAAACACACACACACACACACACACACACACACACACATTCTAAAGAAATGTAATATTAAAAATTTAAGTAATCTTTACAGGGGGGCTCGTGAGACCTCACCCCTCCCTGAGGATCAATTGTCAAGGGAGGGCTGTCACTTTGTTCATTGTTGTCACCATTGCTTTTGTTTTGTTTGTTTGTTTGTTTTGAGACAGGATCTCATTATGTAACCCTGGCCGATCTGGGACTGCCTATGGAGACCACACTGACCCTGAACTCACAGAGATCTGCCTACCTCTGCCTCCCTAGTGCTGGGATTAAAGATGGCTTTGTTAAGTTACCCATGCACCAGTAAATAACCCCCTACCCATACTCATACAAGCAACTCTAATTAAACTCAGTGGGTCAAAACATAAAAGGACATGAAGGCAGGAGGGGGCTAGTTGGGAAGAAGGAGGACAGCAAATGTGGGAGGGAGATAAAGGGGTAATGGAGATAAAAGTAGTGTATGTGGTTTCTAGAAAAGCAATCCCTGCTCCACTGGGCTGATCTGAGAATGAAGGACAATTTACTCAAGCTCCATTCTATCTCCTTGACTGGAGCAATAGTTCACTGTCCATCCTGGGTATAAATCTCCTTTTGAACCCCTGGGTTGAAAGAGCAGGTCCACTTGGCCTCTAAGACCGGAGGCTGGGCTATCCATAAACTTGACTGGAGGGACAAAGTTATGCATCATTAATGATTAGCTTAGTCCTCCAGGGAGGCTGCAGGGATTTGATCTGGGAACTGTCTACTTCAAAGATGCGTTCTCCTCCAGAGCTACAGATACTCTAGAACTGCTTGTCCAAGAGAAGAATAGACCAAGCTATCCCTAGAGAAATTTCCATAAGGGATTTGGCAGGTAAGTGTTCTTGCAAGGAACAGAAGGGTGGGGACATGCATGATGATGACACTCACCAGGCTTGACGAATCACAACTAGTAAGTAGAGTGAAAATATCCAAAGAAAACAGTTCATAATTCCTAGGATCCATAACAGAGAGTTTCTACAAGGTTTTAATGAGGTGGCAACACTAGGCAGAAGAACGAGGACCTTTAGCCAAACATAAAAGAGGATTGAGGAACTGGGAAAAAGATTAAAAAAGAAAGCTGAGACCTCGGTGGTGGTGAAGGGGAAGGCTCATCTAAAGAGATGAATCCAGAAGAATAAGAAAGAGTCGGGCATGGAAAGGGAGATGGACCAGCAGCCAGGAAAGCATTAGGTGTTTGCTGTCCAGGGCATGGGAAGAAACTTTCACCTCTTCTTCTTTCAGAAAGCAGGAGAGAATGCGTAAGTTCTGTAGACAAGCATTCTAGTGCTTTCTGCCTAAACCAAGGGGCTAGAAACCTAGCCAAGTGTGTGGACTGCTGGCTGGACGGTCCCTGACTCAAAGGTCATTAGGCTTAAAATCTGCCATCTCATCAGAGAGCATGTGGCAGAATTCAAAAATCAGTTTAAACAGCCTTAGAACTGCTTTCTCCAGAGGCAACAAATCTGGAAAACAAATTACAACAGCTGTATTTAAGGTGTATCAGTTAAAATTCACATTAAAAAGCAGTATATTAGTCATCAACCAATGCATTAACAAGCATCTCAAAAATCTAAGTAGCTTTCAACCATACATATTTTTCCTCCTATGGGACATAGGTCTAAAATACTCCATAAAGCCTCACTGAAGAATAACTGAAAGTTTGGGATGGTCAGGTTGAGCTCAGCTGAGCTCCTCATGTTTAATCATTCTGAGACCCAGAAAGATTAGTGCTCATCTGGGATATGCAGTTCTCATAGAAAGACCCAGAAATGAGACTAGGAAGATGGCACGGTGGGAAAGAGTGCTTGATGTGCAATCATGAGGACCTGAGTTCTGGAACCCCAGCATCTATGTAAAAAGCTGTCTATGTGCACCTCTAACCCTGGAGCTGGAGGTGGGGACTGAAACAGAAAGATCAGTAGGGCTTGCTGACTGGCCAGTTTAGCTGAAAAACAGAAAGTTCTAGGTTTAGTGAGAGACCCTGGGACAAGGGAGTAAGACAGAGAGTCCTAGAGCAGGTCACCTTATGTCTCCTCTGGCCTCTGCATGCATTTATCCAGGCATGTTCATGTACACACACGTGCACACACACACATATTATACACACACACACACACACACACACTCAAAGAGAAGCCAGAAATGCAATTCTGACCAACCCACTCTCGTCCTATTGACCAGAGCATATCTCTCAGGTAAGCCAAAGTCAATGGAAGTGAAATACGGACTCTCCCTGAGGCTATACTGAGTCACATGGAAATGAATGAGAGCGACAAAACAATCTACTACTCAACAGCAAAACCACCACCCACAACAAAATAATCTGCCACTCACAACTAGACTATCTAGCACTCATTATACTTTAAGACAAAATGATTTGATCCCTGGGGTTGGTGCTCACAGAATAATCGTAGGAGCTAGGGGATGCCTCTGGAGAATGGCACACAGAAGGAGATCCAATCAGGTGCTGAGTATCAATTCATTCATAGTCACAACAAATCAAGCCTGGATGGTGAAGATAAATCTCACCACCAGATGACGATGAGTAAAGCAATCTAGTAAGGAAGGGTTCACTTGCCTATATCTCCTCCCTTCTTCACAGGTCTGACCATGCAGTGGCTGTTGAAATATCGGGGACTTTGCTCCCTATGGCGTCCTGAGATGTCTAGTCCCACTTTCCATATTAATATCAGAAAATGGATGTCCATACAGTGGGGCCACCAGGAAGTGCCTGCCAAGTTCAACTTTGCTAGTGATGTGATGGATCACTGGGCCAGCATGGAGAAGGTAATGGGGTAGAGGGGAGGCAGAACAGCACAGTTGAATCGACTTCATTTGTTCATCCATTCATTTAGTAGAAATGCTTAGTATGTCTCAGACACTGTAAAGAGCTGTGTATAGAATGTTCATGTTCCATGAAGCAACATAGGTTGACTTGGAAGAAGAAAAGGCAGAAACATTGTAGGCTTCGGTCAGAGAAGCATTTTCTTGCAGTGGTCAGTGGTAATTGAAGAAAATCTTAACTGGTCAAAGTGCTGAGAACAACCAGCTGTTGAATGCATCTCCATAATAAAACATTTCTGTCACCTCCTCTAGAGCTCTGGGAAAGAGAAAGGAAAGAATGTGGGGGAATGTGCAGTGAGATCCCACCATGACATAGCCGTTGCACTCTTGAACTCCTATCAGCTGTGATTACCTGCCCAATACTTGACCTGTAAAAATTCTATCCTAGAGGGAGGAGGGGCTCATGGGGCCCTACCTCTCCCTGAGGATTTACACACAGTTCATGATGAAGAAGTCAAATATTTTCTGGTGAGGTGCTCTTGTAAACAAACTCTCCTCCAGGCTCCTATAAACAACCTAATTAAACTCATTGGGTCACAAAACAGACGCGAAAGTAGAAAGTAATTGAGAAGAGAAAGAATGTGAGCAGGAAGGGGACAAGAGAGGGTAATGGGGGATGGTGAGTATGATTGAGATGTACCATGTACATGTATGGAATGTCATAATGAAACCCATGACTGTGTATAATATATATATAATATATATAATAAAAATACTTTAAAGAGAAAATTAAGGGACCACAGCACATGGTAGGCAACCTGACAACCCCAGACACGTGCTTTATCGTTTATCCAGAATGAAAGTGGGCTGGGGCATAGACGAGATCGACGACCCTATTCTAAGTTGAAGATGAAATGTCCCCATAAGCTCAAAGACTCACTTGAATTCCAGCTGCTGCTGATAGTTTGTGGGGTAGAGAGACTTTGGGAGGTGGGGTCTAGCAAGAGGAAGTAGGTCACTGGGGGAGCACATCTGACGCTATGGTCTGTAGTCTTTTCTTCTTTCTCTGCTTCCTGTCTGAATAGCCTCTGCCACAGGCTGGCACTAAGATATTTTGTCTCATCTTGTGCCCAGAGTCAATAGAGCCAAGGACTATGGGCCCTAGATTCAATCCCCAGGACCACAAAACACTTTTGACCTAAAAGTATAGTTACACTGATGAATTTTATGTTATGTAAGTTTCATTACAAAATAAAAAGATGACAGCAAATTAAAATATGTGAAGAAATCTGGGCTATAACTCGCACTTTCAGTCTCATTCTTTCACAAGCATATGAGGTCATTTTCCAGAGGGTACGTGGTTACAGATGTGTCAGAGTGGGTACAGAAGCAGGTAAGAGGATTCAACAGTCTTCTGCTAAGGTAGACATTAAGAACATGTGCAAAAAAGGTAAAAGGATGCCAAATTGGGCTGGAGAGATGGCTCAGTGGTTAAGAACACCGGTTGTTCTTGCAGAAGACCTGGGTTCAAATCCCAGCACCCACATGACAGTTAACAACTGTCTGCAACTCCAGTTCCAGGGGATCCAAAAGCCTCTTCTGTCCTCCGTGGGCATTGCATGACACAGGTGCACCTACCTACATGCGGGCAATACATGCATACACATAAAATAAAAATAATAAATAAAATATTTTTTTAAAAAGGATGCCAAAATATTCATTGATATTTTTGTATTAAAAAGCACGTTTTTGCCAGGCATGGTGGCACACACCTTTAATCCCAGCACTCAGATGTAGACGCAGATGGTTCTCTGTGAGATTGAGGCCAGGCTGATCTACATAGTGAGTTCCAGGCCAGCTGTGGCTGCAGGGAGACCCTGTCTCAAAAAGACCATAAAAAAGCATGTTTTCCTTAAAAGATCTTATTCATGGTAACTGTATTAGTCAAATTTTATGTCACTGTGACAAAAGACCTAATGTAAACAAATGAAGGAGGAAATATTTATTTTAGCAGCTTAGAGATGTAATTCAGTTATTTTAGCAGCTCTGAGATGTAGTTCAGTTAGTAAAGTGCCTGCTTAGCATGAACAAAACCCTGGGTTTTATCCTCAACACTGAATAAAACCAGATGAAGTAGCATGGGAAGATCAGAAATTCAAGATCACTCTCAGCTACATAGGCAGTTCAATGTCAGTCCTGAATACATGACTCTCTCTGTCTCCCTCTCTCTCTCTCTTCATATATATATATCTCTCTCTCTCTCTCTCTCTCTCTCTCCTGTCTTGCAGCCCCGCCCCTCTGCCCCCGATGTTAGTTCCTTTTCTCATTTCTGTGACAAATCTGCATATATATATTTGTATACTTGTTTTAGCTCATAGTTTCAGAGAGTTACGTTCATAATCTTAGCTTTGGTGATTTTGAGCCTGTGGTAAGGCTGAATATCATGGCAGCTGGGGCACGTGACAAAAGCTACTCACCTCATGGAGACAGGAAGCAGATGTAAGGAATACAGCTGTGCTGGATAGCTTTATTGTCAATTTGACACACCTTTGTTGAGGGAGCCTCAACTGGGGAATTGTTTCCATTGGACTTGCCTGTGGTCACGTCTGTGGAGTATTTCCTTAATTGTTGAATGATATGGGAAGGCCCAGCCCACTGTGGGTGGTGCCACCCTGGGCAGGTTGTTCTGTATTGTATTAGAAAGCAGGTTGAGCCGGATGTGGTAGCGCATGCCTTTAATCCCAGCATTCGGGAGCACTCTGTGAGTTTGAAGCCAGCCTGGTCTACATAGTGAGTACCAGGCCAGTTGGGGGGCTACAGGGAGACCCTGTCTCAAGAAAAGACGAAAAGTACCAAAAAAAAAAAAAAGTGGGCTGAACACATGCCAGGAGCTAGCAAGCAGCATTTCTTCATGGCTGTGTTTCAGCTCCTGCCTCCAGGTTCCTGCCCTGAGTTCCTACCTTGGACGCCCCCGGTAATGAACTGTAACCTGGGAGATATAAGACAAAATAAACCCTTTCCTCCCCAAGTTAGTATTGGTCAGAGTGTTTTGTCACAGCAATTTTCAATTGCTAACTAAGACAGACCCTAAGGACACACCCCAATTCACTTCCTCCCCTCAGGTCCCACTTCCTGCTTCCCCTCAGGTCCCACTTCCTGCTTTTCACCGTATCCCAATAATGTGATATTATGAATCCATTAAGCAATTAATCCATTGATTATGTTAGAGCCTTCATGAGCCAATCATCTCTGGAAATGTCCTCAGAGCTACACCTAGAGGTATACTTTACTAGTATCTTAGGCATGCTCAATCCAATCAAGTTGACAATCAAAATTAACTATCACAGTAAAATATAATGCTGTTATTTTTTTAAAACATATACTAAAAATTTCTCAGTTTGGGGCTGGAGAGCTGACTCAGCAGTTAAGAGTACCTTTGCTCTTCTGAAGGACCTGGGGTTCAGTTCCCAGCACCCACATGGCAGCTAACAACCATTTGTAACTCTAGTTCCAGGTGATCCAACGTCCTCTTCTGACATCCTCAGGCATTTCATACATTCATGGGTGCATTTACAAACATGCAGGCAAAACACTCATATTTTAAAAACATTCTGTTTTAAAATACGGTATTGATGGATATACCACGCATTTAAAATCAGCATGCTGAGTTGATAAAAGGACTGTTAAAGCAGTATGTGGATGTTCTGGGATCAGCAAGCCTACCAAGCTTTGATAACAGCAATCCTGAGATTTAGAATTTGTCCTACCTGCTGTGTCCCCTGACCACCAGACCCTCTGTTTCTTCAGGCTGGCAAGAGACCTCCAGGCCCAGCCCTGTGGTGGGTGAGTGGCCGTGGTGAAGAACTGAAGTGGAACTACAGAGAACTGAGTGAAATCAGTCAGCAGGCAGCCAATGTCCTCTCGCGGGCCTGTGGCCTGCAGCGTGGGGATCGTGTGGCAGTGGTTCTTTCCCAAGTCCCAGAGTGGTGGCTGGTGACCCTGGGCTGCATGCGAACTGGTTAGTAATTGAGCACACGGGTGGGGCACGCTCTCCTATGAAGGCAATGGAAGCAGAAAAACATAGCCGCCTCTCTGTAGTATCCTCTGAGAATTATCTCGCCGTTTTGGGTCAAACTAGGAGTCCTTTATTAGCCAGCAGTTGAGAGGTGGCTAATGCCCAAAAGAACTTTCAACCCCGAGGGGAGGCAGATTAGGGTTTATAAAACCTAAAACCAGGGCTGGAGAGATGGCTCAGAGGTTAAGAACACCGATTGTTCTTGCGGAAGACCTGGGTTCATATCCCAGCACCCATGTGACAGCTAACAACTGTTGTAACTCCAGTCCCAGGGGATCCAACAGCCTGTTCTGACCTCCACGGGCATTGTATGACACAGGTGCACTTACCTACATGCAGGCAATACACGCATACACATAAAATTTTTAAAAATTAAAAAAATAAACCTAAAACCAAAATTACATCACACCAGGGTCATAGCCAATAACCATAGTTACATCAGGTCATCATAGTTACACCAGACCAGGGGTGGGTCAATTAACAAAGAGGTTTTCCATTAACAAAAAATTTCAGTTAGAAAGAACAAGTTTCTCAGAATTGCAGAGACAATGGGCTCTATGGAGATGCAGGTGTAGTTGGGACAGAGGACATGCTGCCTGGACATGCCACCTGGCTAGTTTCCCAGCATTGTAGAAACAACGTGCCCCCAAAGCTCTAAGTGCAGCCTGCACAGGATGGTCTGGCTGGCTGCAGTGGGAGGGGCTGGGCAGAAACACGGTAAAGAAAAGTCAGCTAGAACAAAATGGAATCAGGTTTGCCATTTTGCTCTCCCCTAAAGAAACCCCCTCCACTGAACCGCTGTCCTGACACCTCCAGGGCCTCAAACCCCACCTGCCCTTCCCCATTAGCTCTGCTGTTCACAGTGCTGCACAGGAAAGAAGGCAATTGCCCTTCCCAGCTCTCTTTAAAACCATTTCCTTTCTCCAGGCCTCGTTTTCATGCCTGGGACTGTCCAGATGAAATCCACAGACATTCTCTATAGGCTGCAGGTGTCCAAGGCCAGGGCCATTGTGGCTGGGGATGAAGTGGCCCAGGAAGTAGACACTGTGGCCCCTGACTGCCCTTTACTGAGAATCAAGCTGCTGGTGTCTGAGAGGAGCCGGGAGGGATGGCTAGACTTCAAGAAACTACTAAAGTAAGTACTTGCCTCAGCTGGGTTTTCAAACAAAATGAAAATCAAACCAAGTAGTTATACGCAAAGTGAAAAACTATGGAGACTGTGACAGGGAAGGAGGAGAAGTTAACACAAGAATTTAGTGTGGAATCGTTTCAAGGGGCAGGTAGGGCCTGGTGTGAGGGAACCTCTGAGGGTATATAGATTCCCTTCAGTGTTTTCTAACAAAGGATTGACAAGCACTGCCATCCAATCTCCATTTGCTGAAGTTTGTTCAGGGGCATTGCCTCCCTCACATTCTGGCCTTATACTTGCAGGCTTAGAGTCCCATGCCATAGTAGCATTTTTGAGAAACATCAGAAGCTAGAGAGATGGCTCATGGGTAAGAGCATTTGCTGCATAAGCATGAGGACCTGAGTTCAAATCCCCAGAATCGATGTATAAAGTCAGATATGACTATGTGTCCCTGTAACTCTAGCATCAATGTATAAAGATAGGCACATCCCAAGAGTACACTGGCAACCAGCCTAACCGAAGGGACAAACTGTGGTTTAGTGGGAGACCCTGTCTCAAGGCAATCATGTGGAGAGCAATAAAGGAACACACCAACATCCTGCTCTGGCCTCCACATGCGACCCTTACAGGCATGTACCCACCCACACACTCACATGCATGCACTGCATACACAATACATGCAGACACACCACATACATAATGGAATAATAAATAAATAAATAAATAATAAGCCATCCACAACCAAAATGAATCATGTGGGGTACATGCTGGAAACAACACAGTGTTAGCCTCCACAAGGCTGAAAGGCATCCGGAGCCATGCATGACAACCATAAGTCAAGTCAGCCATGAGGCCAACAGCTCAAGCGGCAGAACTTCAGAGATACATTACCCTGACTTCCAGGCTCTTGTTCCCACTTTCTACATCCCTGAGCTAGGTTTTCCAAGACAGTGGCCCTTCTAGAAGTCATAGCAAGACTGACTGGAGGAATGAGCTTCCTGGTCACATGTCTGACATCCCTCCAGATTTCACACCTTAAAGATGCACACCTTAAGGAGCTTTTAGGGAGAACATAAGTTTTTTGTTATGTTATGTTTTGTTTTGTTTCCTTTCTATTGTCATGGTCTTTAAAATAATTGCCATAGAAATAAATAGTGCAATATCAGCTTTGAGAGATTCAGATTCAAGACACTGGAGAGTTGTCTAAGAGACCTGAGGATTCTTCCACAGAATAGAAGTGGGTGTCAAGAAAGCACTAGGAAGACTAACGTCTCAGCTTCTATGGACCTGGAATCACATTTTGGCTCAGCAACAATTAAATTAGCATTAATTAAATTCTTTCTAAGCATGTTGCTCATTTTCTTTGTGGTAGAGTTAATGTCTCGATAAGTCTCTGAGATAGATTTTGTTGACCCCATTTCACAGATATGAAAAGTGAGATTCACAGAAGTTAAATAACTTATACAAACTTATATAGTAAACAAAGTGCTAAGCTTGAGTAGCTTTCAAACTCAAATCTGACTAACTCAGAAACCCATGAATTTTAACCACTCAGGAGCTTCTCTTCTGAGAAAGGCCAGCTGACTTGCCTTTGTTGGTCTGGGAGGCTAGTGGGAGAAAAATGAGTCATTGTGACATGTGGTATCCAGTCTAGATCCAACTTAGAAGTTGGCATTCTGTGTCCTATCAGAGAAGCATCTACCACTCACCACTGTGTAGAGACTGGAAGTCATGAAGCAGCTGCCATCTACTTCACTAGTGGGACCAGTGGCCCTCCCAAGATGGCAGAACACTCCCATTCGAGCTTGGGCATCAAGGCCAAGATGGATGCTGGGTAAGATTAGCCCTTCCCTCTACAGAGCTCTATATGGCGGAATGTGAAGATTTTCCTGAAGTCAGATCTGGCTTGCTCTGGAGACACTGAGGGAAACAACTGAGAAGGGAAGCTGAAGGGCTAGTCTTCACACACTGGGGGTTCTGTGACCTGCAGTGTGGCATATATGTTTCAGTCAATGACAAGCCTCAAAATCTCTTCTGAGTTCTGAGCCAATCTCCTAGTATGAAAGATAAGTAACCAGGTTTAGAGGAGCTTTTCCCGAGATCGATCGCTACATTGTCTTTGGGGCACTAGCAATTTGCTTTGGTGCTACCTTTGTTCCAGGAGGACTTTTTGTGAACAGGAAATTATTTTTCAAATGTATTGATGTGGAAGGTATAATTAACTGCAATCTGTGAAATCAAAAATCGCTGTGACAAGGTCTTCAGGCAAAGATCACAGGATCTTTGGGATTTTTTTTCAGTAGATCCTTCCTGTCATATTAATGCTATTATTAAAATGGGAAAATACTTTAATGTTAAAGAACTCGAAAAGCATAAATGTCCTACCTATGAGACAACAGCATCAGAAAATGATTAGAATAAATTAGGGGCTAAGGGAATATATATAGCTCAGTCAGTCACAGAAGCATGAGGACCTGAGTTTGGTCCCCAAAATGTTTCCACATTAAAAAGTCAGAGTGGACAATGCACATTTGTAATCCCAGCCCTGGGAGATGGAGACAGGTGGATCCCTGGGGCTCATGGTCAGCCAGCCTAGACTAATTGGCAAACCTCAAGGCAGTGAAAAATCCAGTCTCAAAAATCTCTATGAACAATACCTGAGAACAACACCTGAGGTTGACCTCTGGCCTCAACATACATGTGCACATACACGCATGCACCCCTACATTGCACATAATCATACACAATAACTAAACAAATACATTATTTAATAGATGAAATAAAATATAGTTTTTAAAGGATGGGGAATAAATTACCTTAAAAACTAAGATATTAATTCTCATCACCACCCCAAAACGGGGACCTAATATGCTCAGTTTCTTAAAGAACTGAAAATGTTAATGTTCAGTTAAAAAAAAAAAGCTATGGTGACTCCCACCCACAAGGAAGTTCTTGTCTAGCCTACATCATTCTTGCTTTAACCCAGATTTAATACCTCTTATTCTGCTCTGAAGAGAAAAAGAAAATAAGTTTTCCCTATGCAGGACTCTCAACTGTACTTAGGCAATCCATGATGCTTAGAGAAAAGAGAGACAAAGGTCTATTCAGCTGAGCTTGAACTGGGCAAGACTGTCAGAATGGTGACTCAGAGGGTAGAGAGATGGATTAGTGGTTGATGGATTAGAGAGATGGGTAAAGTGCTTGTTGCACGAGCGTAAGGACCTGAGTTTGAATCCACAGCACCCACATAAAAAGTCAGGCATGGTGGCATGCATATCTTTAGCCCCAGCACTGGGGAATGAGGACAAAAGGAGCTCAAAGGCTCACTGAACAAGGCAGACTAGCCAATTGGTGGGCTCCAGGTTCAGTGAGAGACCCTGTCCTAAAAAATAAGGTGGAAAGAGATAGAAGATACCCAGTATTGAACTCTGGCCTCTTCACATGCACACACATGCATATATTGGACATACGCGCACATACATCATACATACATATTCATACATCATACATACACACACAATAACGTTTGCTTACATAACTTTTGTTAGTAAATGCTTCTTGGATGGTTTCTATATGTCAGGCACTGTCTTAGTATTGGGGAAAAAATGAGACTGAGATTCAACTTATCTGTTAAGTTGTATCTTCTCGGCTCACACTCTCCAAAGTGCTGTCATCTCTTGATGCAGGATGTGTGGGTAGAATGACTTTTCTTCCCTTTGTTGTTCATAAACACTCCCCTGAAACACTCCCCTGATAACATGGCACATTCTCAGACACACACACACACACACACACACACACACACACACACACGCTGTGTGCCCATACCTAACCCTCCCCATCCCACACAGCCCTTCACACACCACACACCTCAGTGTCTACTCAGCTCTGTGGGCCTGTGTTCTGTCTGTGCTAGCACCTGGACTGGCCTGAAAACCTCCGACACAATATGGACCATATCAGACACAGGTTGGATAGTGAACATTTTAACCGCATTTCTGGAGCCCTGGACACTGGGAGCATGCATTTTTGTCCATCTCTTGCCGAAGTTTGATCCACAGACTGCTCTAAAGGTAAGAGAGGACTGTTTGTGGGGTTTGTCAAAGTGAGCTCAGTTTGCACACTACACTCCAATTCACTGCAGTTAGTTTCAACTCATAAAATTTTTTGCTAAACCCTACCCATAAGGGTAGGCAGTAGGTAGGAGTAAGCAAAGTGGAAGTTTCCTTGTGTCATGGAGCACATGGTCTAGGGAAGGAGAAAGACACATACATATATGAATATAGTATTTTTTGGAGACAGGAACTATAAAATTGCTTGTTCTCTCAACTAGCAAGCTCTTCTTTTGATGTCAGATAAAGGGATGAGTGGAATATTAGAGGTGATGCCATCTCCATCTTGTGTGTGTGTGTGTGTATGTGTGTGTGTGTGTGTGTTCCTTTTTCACTTACAGTGTAACGCAATCTGGAGGTTAAAGTGTGGGAAATACGATTATTCTAAGTGTACAGTTTGAAAATAATTTCTTTATGTTAAACAGTGTCCTAGTCAGCTTGGACTACTACAATAAAGTACCATAGACTAAGGAGTTCAAACAACGCACTCTTCCCATGGGGGGAGAGAGAGACCCCCACTGAAAAAAATGAGAGAGAGAGAGAGAGAGAGAGAGAGAGAGAGAGAGAGAGAGAGAGAGAAGAGGAGGAAGATGAGAAAGGAAGAGGAAGAATGGGCAAGGGACAAAGAGAGAGTCTTTTCCTTTCCTTACAAGGGCACTAATGTGTCATTGATGCACCTGGTGTTATTACCTCTAAGTGCAATCAATCACATGAAAGTTAGTACTTCATCATGAGGATCCATTTAGTATATGGAACATTCAGTTCATATCAGACACACACATACCCATCACCAGATTTGAACTCCAAACATTTCTATAACTATAGAAGGTTCTTATAAATCTTCCCTGGTCATATCCTCGCCCCATAAGTTAATAATTACTTTGACACCTTTTTACTTCTGCAAACTTAAATTTCACCCTTTTTTCACTTTATATAAATGCAATTATAGGTTACATGACCTTTTCCTGGTTTCTTTCACTCAACAATTTGTCTATGAGGTTAATCCATATTGTTGCATGTATCCGAAGTTTGTTCTTTTAAAACTGTTCTGTGCTGTTTCCTTCTTGGACTCCTACACCGTTACTTTCCCATCTTATTACAGATGGTCCTTTGGATTACTTCCAGTTTGGAGGGTTTATGTAGGAGGAACTCTGAAGGGAAAAAAATGGCCTTTATTTTCCTATAGAGTTTAAGGCAGTCATTTAGTAAAATATGCTATAGCTATTAATTACCATAGAACAATAGGCAATTTAAAATGGCCTCATTCTGCTTGTAAAGATATAAGCAATGCTGGACTTAATAGCAATCGGGTGTGTGCCATTGTCTTCTTGGGCCCACGGCTCTCTGCAGCAGCTGATGACTCACAAGGACATCCATTTAGCTCAAATAGAGGCCTCCAGAAGCATGCATGACAGGTCAAAAGTCAACATGATTTGGATTCCTACCAGAGAAGCTCTCAAATGGTTCTGCCATTTTCTGTTCTTGACAACTTTGGATTTTGCTACTTTTAAACAGAATTTGAGCTGGCTTTTGTTATTTGTCACAAGCAAAGCATCAGTAAAACAGAACAACGCATGAAAACAGATGTCAAGTCACCAAGGCCCTTTGGGAAACATAACTGAGAGTGACTGAGGAGATGGAGAATTCAAATAAGTAGGTCGTTTTCAGGCTGGGCTTCTTGTCAGGAGATGAGGAATCAGGACGATTTTCTTAGCTTATATTAGGTCATCAATTACATGTAGGGGAAACAATTGCATGATGCTCTGGTTAGTTATTTTTTTCTAGACTTTTACTTAAACCACTATTAAATGCTTCATTAAACGAAGATTAGGTGAAGACAGCATTGCATAACGTGGTAAATACTGGTTCCACTAGTTGCTGGCAAGCTACTCAGCCCTGTGGGTTCTCACCACCATAAATGCAGGCGGCAGTGCATAACCCTATTTTGAGAATGACATGAGAAGACACAAGGCAGAGTGAGCATTCAGCACCAGGTCTTTCTGGAGCGTTTCTTTTGAAATATTAATAGGTTCTTTTAGCCATCAAAGCACATTTTGTCTCGATGATCTTCCACAATTATTTCCAGAAAAAATGTCTGGAAGTAATCTATTATAAGTCTGGTTCCAGAAGGTTAAGAGGCTTAACCAAGGTGATATGATTCATTTCTCGACAGCATCTGGTCTCTTTTCCTGCATGATTGAGGCTTTACACTCTGTATAAAAGACAAGCCTTTGGCTGATCATGAAGAACCAGCCAGGCTTTGACGAAAGTGTTTCAAACTAATCTTGGGCTTTTTGCTGATTCATTCCTGTGACTTGTGTCTTGAGAATGTATGAGAATTGTGAGGTTTGTTTACTTTGAAACAAACACAGTGAACAAACTAGGATTTCAATCTGGATTGCTACAACTCCAGAGCCCATGAATGTGACTTTGATGTGTGTGTGTGTGTGTGTGTGTGTGTTGGTAAGTCTGAATCTGGCCTGATGACAAATGTTTCTGCTGGCTCTCTCCCAACAGGTGCTGTCCAGCTACCCCATCAACAGCATGGTGGGCGCCCCCCTCATTTACCGGATGTTGCTACAACAGGACCTTTCCAGGTGATGGAGCATGGGGGAGGGGCTGGTAGACCTGTAGATCCATCCCTGTGCCTCCGTCTTACTCACACATGCCCGTGTAGCTGAGCATACTTAGCCCTACAGAAGCCATCTCCATCATCACAGAACCCAGAATCCAACTCCAAGCCTGGGCTGACTTTGGTTCTAGTGAAGCTGAGGGACAATAATCATATCTCTCGTTTAGTTACAAGTTCCCACACCTGAAGAACTGCTTCACTGGAGGGGAGACCCTTCTTCCAGAAACTCTGGAGAGCTGGAAGGTCCAGACAGGACTGGAGATCCGAGAATTCTATGGCCAGACGGAAACGGTACCTGCTCCCTAGGGAGCTGTGGGCTAGGTGAACCTGGTGACCTTCAAGCTCTGCTTGATAATAAGATTGTTGTGAAGTAATCTGTCACTCTTTTAATTGAGGAATATTTATTGTGCTTCCACTATGAAAACAAAATGGTAAATCAAAGGTTCTGATTGCATGGATCCCACAGTGTGATATTTTAATACTTCTGTGAGATCCGCCACAATCACTAGGGGCAGTTAGCATATCCAATGTTTCAAACATTTATCATCTTTCTGTGTTCTGTTTCTTCTTTCTATTTTGAGCTATGAAATCAGTTATTATTATATGACCCTAGTCAAACAATGCAATAATAAATAATAATGATGACACAATCAGTTATTATTATTTAACCCTAGTCACTCTATTGTGCTGGAGAACTTATTCATCCTTTTCTAACTGGTTGTTAGTTCCTCTTCCCTGGGGAGTAACCAGGTTGTCTTCTGAGTAGTTTCCTAGAGCCCCTAGGATTAAGATTTGAGGGAAACAGGGAGAAAGCCAGGGAATGGGCGATGGAGTCAGAATGTGAAGAACTAAGATGAACTGCTCCATTGAATCCTTACTTTTTTCCTGGGCTGTTGTGCGTCCTCCTGAAGTTTGCTGCTCTGTCTGTGCCTCTCTACAGGGACTTACCTGCAGAGTTTCCTGGACGATGACAGTCAAATCAGGCTACCTGGGAACAGCCGTTCCCCATTATGATGTACAGGTTTGCTAGGGGCATTGAGGAGGGAGGGAAAATTGGGGGAACATTAAATTTTAGTAGTATGTTTATATTTATTGTGTTGTTAATTTAGTTCAAATAATGATATTAAAATAATATTTAAAGGGAGGTGGCTCAGTAGGTGAGAGTTTGATCCCCAGAACTCACATGGTGGAAGGAGAGAGTTCTTTAACCTCCACATGAGCGCTGTGGTGTATGGGTGTGCACACACAAAACAAATAAACAAAGAATGAGTAAATGCAATAATTTCTAATTTTTTAATAAGGATGGGGGAGAGGAGAAAAAAGGAAGTGAGGAATGGGGGAAAAGAATTCCTAGTATTCACCCAAAGAGAACCACTTTGCACATCTAGCACACTGGCTAGATTATTGCACGGTAACTGTTGTGAAAGAGAACTGGAAGTGGGGCGTGAATCTTGAAGGAACATTTTGTATCTTGAGTTCATCATTTGGACATCTCAGACGGCCATCTTTTCAGGCTAGTTAACACCTATTACAGCATTGATCTACTGAATGGTAGACCGTGCAACTCCACTATCCTCTAAGTTATTTGTTAATGCTCGATGTTCAAATTTTCATTAGAGTTATAGTGAGGATGGGATAACTAAAGTTCTTCTCTTTTTATTGCTTTGATCTGAAGTCTAAGATCTAAAATTTATGTTTCTGTAGCTATGCTGTGTGTATATTTCTATTTATCAAGAATATGAAAATGTTCAAATCTCTAATTTGAATGTCATGTGATGACCTGTCACACCACTCACTGTGACAACCACACAGAGCTGCCGATCATGGCCTCCTTCACTTGCCATTGGCGTCTCTGTTCTACAAAAGCCAGAGTCAAGCATAGTGCCTTGTAGCTGGGCAAGGTAGCAGAGTAACACTTGAGTTTTGAGCTCCAAGTTCGCAGGTGAAGAAGGTCCCTGTTTCTCCTGAGCTCTTAGAACTGGAAGCAGTTGCCCAGGCACCTCTGGTCTACTCCCCTAAGAGCCTTCATGGACATGAACCCCAAAAGGTGGATCAGGGATCTGAATTTAAACATCTTGGCTTCCCTTGACCTCTGCCTGCTCTCAGTCTCCTTGAGGACAAGACGTTTTCCCCTTGACCAGCTCAGCCTGCCACACCACTATTTGTGCCAGCTCCTCTTCTGTGAGTCATTCTTCCAACCTTACTCTTCCCTCAGGTCATAGATGAAGAGGGCAATGTCCTGCCCCCTGGCAAAGAGGGAGACATAGCCATCAGGGTGAAGCCTTTCCGACCTGTGGGCATCTTTTCTGGCTATGTGGTGAGGAACTGTGATTTCCCTCTTATCCTAGCAGGGGTGAGATGAACAAAATTGAATGAGGGAGGCCCAAAGTCGTGAATACCCCCAAGAGACATCGGCAAGATTCAAGAATAGGCAATTCCTCATTGTAAAGTCTAATTCTTTGTAAGCTAATACAAATTTAAATTTTAAAAGTGGGCACTTTGCAAAGGGAAAATCCAGGTCACTCACCCTCACCATCCTTAGCCAACCACTAAGATCTCACTAGAAGACTTGTATTTCTCCATAAGCCCTTGCACCCTCAAACCTTCTACATCATGCCAAGGATCTCATTCCCCCTGATCAGTATGCAGCAGCATTCTTCCATGGGCACACCTGCTCTTGCCCCAAAGTATGGATACAGGCTCTATGACTACAAAGACATTTAGTGTCACCTAGGCTCTTCACATGAATGTTCACAGTAGAACTGGGAGTACCCGTATTCCAGACCTCTGGGAAGACACTCATAGATACTCCTTGAGTAGGATTATCTCTCTTACTAGGTAAGAATGATGAATCCAGAGTTTATAAGCTCAATCCAGAGGTCTAAAAAGTCTAAAACTGTTGAGAAACAGGCAGGGAAGATTTCAAGCACATACCCCTTCTGATCCCCAAGATAACTGTTAAATCATCAAGTAAGTCTGAGTATACTACAAGGCAAGCACTGTCATAAGATAACTGACACAAAGTTAATTTAATACACCTTATCACTATGTAAAAATCTTAAGCCAGCCTGCTCAAGTTCAAAACACTACTCCAGTGTTTGCTAGATGATTTGGGGCAAGGTACTGATCTTTCCTGCCACAGTTTTCTCATTTGCAAGTTGTGTGTCATGATATATCGTAGCATTATTATAAGGATAAAAATATAATGATATCTGTGAAACACTTAGAACCATGTTACATAAGAGTATATTAAATAAGATAATCATGGCACAACCAAATTATCATCCCCACTATACAGATAAGGGAAACCGAGACCCTGAGACCAGGGCACAAGCACACTGAACTCTTGTCCAAAAACTGCCTGCAAACTACCCCAGTCAGTGTGCTCTCACATCCCAGAGAAGTGGGTAGGACATACGTGTTCCTAGCTGACACACAAAGAAACAGACTCTGTGGAGTTGGTGGTTCTATTTATAGGCACAGGATGAATGCTGTAGAAGCTGCATGGTGACCGTGAAAACCCCAAGTCAGCGGTCAAGAAACTTGGCTTCTGGTCTTGTTTCTAGAACAAGCTGTCTAGAATCCCTTGGCCTTCATTATCTTCCCCTGCCATCCTCAATCACAGCACTAGATAAAGAATTCTAACCTAGTAAATGAACATCAATGAGGAGTCCATGCTCCCATACCTGAGTAAGATACAAAAATGTCCAGATAAAGGCTAGTACTCGGGCTTCCTTATTACTCATAAGCAAGTGTCTCAGCTAAATAGAGAGGCCATTGTAGAAGTATGCACATTGGTTGGGGCTTTGCAATCTTGTTGGTATCTACAACCTTCAAATGTAATAAAAGAGACAGGAATAGCTTTGAGTAGTGTCTTGGAATGAACAGAGGTTAAACTGTCCAAAGAAGGAAAAATGGAATGAAGAGGGGATGTTCCCTAGAGTATGAGTGAACGAATATGTCAATATTACTCATCAGACTCGACCTAGGAGAGCAGGTGACAGGCCCTCAGTGGAATAACAGAAATGAAGGAAGAAGATCTAATTTGACTGTGGCTCTAGAGTGTGTAGATTCATGACAGGTCTACATCGTACAGCTGTTCAGATATTCAGATCTGTTCATAGCAGCCCAGGGTAAGGGATTTAGACTTTGCAGGCATGGTGACTATCTTTCTGTACTCACCAGGACAATCCCAACAAGACACAGGCCAACATTCGAGGAGACTTTTGGCTTCTAGGAGACCGAGGAATCAAGGATCCAGATGGATATTTCCACTTCATAGCACGGACAGATGATATCATTAACTCCAGTGGGTAAGCTTGATTTCTGGACCAGGAAGGGTGTTCTGGATCTTTGTTCTGGCTGGTTCTAGACCTTGGGCCTTGTGCTAGAGGTTGTGTGTCCAGTCTTCTCTGAATGACATGCTTCTGCAGGTACCGAATTGGACCATCAGAGGTGGAGAATGCACTGATGGAGCACCCTGCTGTAGTTGAGACAGCAGTGATCAGCAGCCCAGACCCCACCCGAGGAGAGGTGATGGGGATGAGCAGCCTAGGGCTGTACAGACACAAAACACATGGGGCAGTCTTAGAAGGTGGTTAAGAACATTGACTCAGGGGCTGGGCAGTTCGCCTTCAAATCTTAGTCCTACTGCTTTTTAGTTATATGACGTTCACCAGTCTTCTTAACCACTTTGTTCCTCAGTTTCCCCATTTTTGAGATGAGGGATTGTTGTGAGCTTTAAATATGTCAATATTTTCAAAGTTCTTGAAGCAGGCTTAGCACACAGTAAACATTATATGAGGATCTGTCTCTTGACCAGGATAATAGAGGAAGGATTTGAGCCAAGAGATCTATACTTTGAGTTGTGAAGTAAGAGTGAAGAGGAAGCTCTCCATAAGGGCAGGATATGGAACTGTGCAGAGCTTAGTGTACACATAGACATTAGGTATGGGGGAGATGGATTGATGTCCCAGTATACTTCTACAGGATGCAATCTTAGCAATGGTGTATCTCCGGTAGATACAAGGCTTATGGCATAGAAAATCATACAAGAGAACCACAGGGAGAGTAAGACCAAAGGAGGACCTTTGGACAATATAAAATTTTATTTTACTTCCTGTGAATTAAATATGAAAAGTTTTTCCCATTCTACAGATGGGTAAACTGAAGTTTGGAGAGGTTAAACAAAACATTTAGGGTTAAGGTCCCCAGCCTTTATTTTCCTCGTTCTCTCTCTGCATCTTTGTCCCCCCTCCCCGGCCCCCAGTCTCTATTGTCCCCAGGGTATGAGCTATGCTGGGGGTCTCTTATCTTCCCTTCTTGTCTGAGAAATCACTTCACAGTGAGTTGGAACACTGGCCATTCTTAACATATGCCCCCCCCCGAGTTTTTTCTTTCTCTTGACCCAGACATTTGGAGGTGCCATTGAGGGCCTGTGGAGGTGGTGGCTGTGGTGGGTGTCTTTATACTGATTTTGCATTATCCCAAGAGATGAGTAAATACTCTGATCCCTTTCTTGGCCCTTATCCTTTGCTACAGGTAGTGAAGGCATTTGTGGTCTTAGCCCCCGAGTTCCTGTCCCATGACCCAGACCAGCTCACCAAGTTACTGCAGCAGCACGTAAAGTCAGTGACAGCACCATACAAGTACCCCCGGAAGGTAAAACCTTTGGGATCACATATCCCATTATGCTTAGGGAAGAACGCCTGTCACATTTCTCTTCTTTACCATGAGGGAAAGGCTTCTAATTCCAAAGTTCTTCCCAATCTTGACCCAAAATCTCCAAAGACAATTTCAAAGATTTTGCCTCACTCTGAATTAAAGTCAAATGCTCTCATGGGAGTTCTAGTAATTGTTTATCTCTATTCACTCTATATACACAGGGTCTTGCAAATATATTCAGAACTCCATAATTCTCTGCAGGTTATAGAAGTATAGCATAAAACGCATTGCTTTCACAGTTAACAAGTCCATGAGTGGGGGCAGACTTTGTCATGATTGGTCCCATGTATTTACATGATGTGATCAGAAATTTCTATTTCATTCCTTTACTCTCCTTCCTCTATATTGGCTTCATTTGTTAAAATGCTCTCCTTTTACACCCCACCCACCCAAATCTACATTCTCAGGAGCTTAGCAAACTCCAGTAAAGAAAAAAAAATGCAAGTCCCCCAAAGTTCTAGCAACAGTCTTTGGGTTGCCTTTTGTTGGAATAACTTAAATCATGTACCCATTGTTAAACCAACTCATGCAACCAGGACAATAGGGATCCTGATTGGCCAGTTTGGGGTCATGTGGTCACGCTTGGAGAAAGTAGAGAAAGGATGGGAGAGTGTTCTGCACTATATCCAAAATGTGGCCTCAATGAAGAGGAGATGGTTTCCAAAGGAAAATGGAAGTGCTCTTCCCAGAAGAGGCAGAAAGCATGGGCTGCACAATGCCTGCTTTCAGTGGCTTCCACTCTGGAGGCTAAAGCACCAACACTGATGTAGGAAGAAGACCCTTTGTTACTCAGCTGTTCATCCCTGTGACAAAATACCCAAGCAAAACAACTTCAAGAAGGAAATTGTTATTTTGGCTCATGACTTTAGAAGTTGGCAATCCCCAATCAGCTGACTGCATTGGTTTTAGACCTGTGGCAAGACAACAACATCAAAATAAAAGGGCATGGCAAAGGAAAGCTGTTGACCTTGTGGCAGTCAAGAAAGAGAGGGAAAAAGGGAAAGGGACTGGAGACAAGATATACCCTTCAAAACATGCCTCAATGACTCCCTTCCTCCAAGGAGGCCCCATCTCCAAAGTTCTCACTATCCTGCCCTCCAATATCCCCAGTAAAACCATCAGGTCATGAACCCACCAGTGGATGAAATCCATTGATGAAGTCAAATCTCTGATGATCCAGTGTCTCCCTTAAAGCCTCACCTTTAAACACTGTATTGGGAACCAAGCCCTCAATATACGAGCTTTTTAATGGAACACTTCACACTCAAACCATAACAGACCCAGGTGTCGCATTTGGGTACAGGATAAGAGCTTGTCCCAGTGAAAGAAAAAAGTAATTTTGAGTCTGAGGTGGCAAGTCAGAGCGAGTGTTAGACTTACAGCCAATTGGGTCCTTAGGTAACCTGGGTACCCAGTGGTTTTTCCTCAATCCAGGCTAATTGTCATAGGTGGGCACCCTGAAAGATAGACCCAAGGAAGTATATTAGCATGCAAGAGATTTAACAAAGTGTTTGGGATACCCACTTGGGAAAAGAAGGAAAGGGAAGGGAAAGAGACCCGGCAGAGAGTGAAGTTGCTTTATGTTCGTGTCTCGACAGAGACCATGCCAATCCCCAAGGACCATTCTGAAGACAATATTACAGAGTTGTCTTGAGGTGGGGTGAGGAGGGAGACGGGGTCATTATAGTCCCATGTAGAACAAGTATGAATGCAGGCTGTGCTGCGAAGATACCTGACCCTGGACAAGACAGGAATCTTTAGAAGAGGCAATCTGCAAAGGGGCTGGCAGGGGTAGTGCATCCTCTATTCTTGCAGGGGAAGCTCAGCTGACTATCAGAGTCCACCACTTGGACTTTTAGCCTCCAACTGAGATGGGGAAGCATGGTACAGTCTCAGGAGTTACACTTATTGGATCAAAATCCACTCTGCTAATTACCCAATAATCTCTCAGTTCCTGAGTTTCCTTATCTAGAAAATGGCATTGGGGGCTATTGATTTATCCCTTAGAATGTCGTTAGGGATGAATTACAGTTTGTTAAACATTAAATACTTAGAGGAGTCACTGGCACATAGTAAACATTCAGTGAGTTTTTTTAAGAAAGTCATTTTATTGTAATGAATTCACAAATAAAAGAAGGTAGACACCCACTTACAGGAAATATATGAAGAATTTTTATTATACATGAACATTTTGTATCAAGTGGATGGGCCCAATCACACCATATAACAACCCCACCCCATGGTCTTTCCTCTAGAGTTCCTAAGATGGCAGGTTCTTTTCACATGCCACACCATGCCTACCAATGATACCGAATTCCTCTGCTCACTTCTTCATAATAAGCAGAGTAGCTTCTTTCCTAGCATTAAACCAAGATCTTACTTACTGGGGAAGCTGAGTACTGGAAAAGTCCAAGGATCTCTCCAATGTCAGGCAGAGTAGGGACTGGCGCACAGAGCATGTGATGTCAAAGCTCAAATGTCTACACGGTCATTTTGCTGCTCCTCCTCTCTTCAAGACTATGCTTTTTAACAATAGTACAGCAGACTTCCCTGCCCAGTTCTAACCATCATCTCCTTGTCCTGGTCTTGGGGAGTCTTTTGAAGTTTCTTGTTGTATACAGAGGTGCCCTAGAACTTCCCCAGGCTCTATCCTCCCTCACACAGACCCTTCAGCCCTAAGAGCATCCACTCACAGCAGCTCCTCTGAAAAATCCAACATCACTAGTCACAAATATCCTCTACTGATCTGATCTTTCACTACAGGTGGAGTTCGTTTTGGAACTGCCCAAGACCATCACAGGGAAAGTCGCTAGAGGAAAGCTTCGAGCTAAGGAATGGAAAACATCTGGACAAGCCCAAGCCCAGTGAGACTCCCAAGAGCTCTCAGCACTCAGTGGGGTTCTCCCTGTCTTCTCTGTTTTCCTTTCCTTTGGGTCCTCGGGCTTCCTGTGAAGATGCAGATTATTCATACAAAGGCAGGCATGCGATTTCTGTGTTTGGTTGGCTATTAGCACAGAACACTGATATGTTGGCTTCTAAAAGAAAACAGAGGGAGGGAATGAGAGAGAAAAGGCAAAGAAAAAACCAAAAAAGACTAAAATAGCAAGGACACATAATTAAAGATTAAAGTAGGGGGTCAGGGAGCAAGGGAGGGAAGGAGAAAACGGAGAGAGAAAAGAGAGGAGAAAGAACTGGAGAAATGAAGCAAAACAAGGAAAGAGGAGGAAAAGAGTGTGCAGCCAGGACATCCGTCTTCTCCAGGTCACCCCAACCCTTAGAGATCATGATCAGGGGAGGGGCGTTTGCTATATGCCAGGTACTGTCCTAGACAGGTCATGGATCATCCTCCTTCATCTGTATGTCATCTTTAGGTTCAGCTCCTGGTTGAAAAAGCAATGTGAACACCTTAAAAGGTGTCAGTCCCTGCTTTTGATGGCCTCTGTACTTCCTAGGGTCAGTATTAAAACCATTTCAAAATCAAGATCTCCAGAACACTCTTAGGGAAGACAAAGAAGGGAGGGGTATTGGCAGCAGCTTCTGGGTTGGGAAAGATGGAGAAGGGATGATAGATGAAGCTGTTGATGACAAAGTCCAGGATCAGCTACCAGGGCTTTCTCACCACCAGATCCATGGGTCCAAGAGAGAGGGGATTTTTGAGAGCTTTGCTTCTAACCCAGAGACGAGGGTGAAAATTCCTAGCAGGATTGGACAAGCAGGAGAATAAACGGAAGGTTTTCAAGGGACATTGACTCTTCTTCAGAATATTCAATAAAAATAACAACAGCAGCCCTAATACTATATTAACCGCTTATCATACCTTGAAGACATGAGTGTCAATCCCTCTTAATGTCCACAATCACCTTTTTATGCCTTTTTTAAGAGAGGGTCTCCCACCACCATTCCCAGCTCATAGTCACCTTTTGACTCGGGCCACATTACTTTAAATTTTACAGAGAAGGGAACTAAGACTTAAAAAGATTAAATAACATTCCATAGTCACACAGCTAGAAAGTGGAACAGGTTCTCTCTTGTACCACACCTGTGTTTTGAATATCTGTGCTTTCTTCATCAGCGGGTTTGCTTTGGCTTCTAGCCCTTTGACTGCAGTCTCTTAGAATCCTCCAGATAAATAAAACCAATCTCAGAAACAGTAGGAAGATATAATACTATGTTATTTAACTGAACTTTAGATGCTTATCTTTAAGTAAAGTTCATTAAGTTTTCAAGAATTGGACTACAGTATCTATAATATATTGTGCATATGTGAAACAGCATAGACTCCTGCTATTTAGGGTTATGTGTTGATTGGCATTGCCAGAAAAAATGTTGTATAGGTGTTATTAGCAAGAACAAAAGAACTGAAGCACATTTTGGGACAAAAATTAGACTCTATAGGCCTTATTATATATGTAATAGAGTACATTAAATTGGGGGGGCAGTAAGGGGAGGTGAAGGTAGGGGAGGGGATCTAAGTACCATCAAATTATATTGTATGAAAATCTCAAAACTTCAAAGAGTTAGCCTGAATTGTGCCAAATATTGCAAGAAACAGCACATCAGCAGTGGTGAGGTAACTCAAGTGTAGGGCTGATAGAGTGACCTCCTATTTGTCTTCCTTCTCAGCTGGTCAAGTTCCTGAACGGTGGATGAGGAAGACATAAATCTTTTAAAAATATATTGAATCAGCCAGTGAGATTGGAAACAAATCCTGGCCCAGGTCCTCCACAAAATTATCTTAATGGAGCCTCACTGGGTTTCAATTTATATAAACAGTCAGGCGATGTGGTGCATGCTTTAATCCCAGCAACAGAGAAGCAGAGGCAGGCAGATCTCTGTAAGATTGAGGCCAGCCTGGCCTACATAGCAAATTCTAGGCCAGCCGTGGCTATAGGGAGACCCTGTCTCAAAAAGAAAAAGGAAAAAAAAACAAATAAAGGGGCTGGACAGATGGCTCAGTGGTTAAGAGCACTGACTGCTCTTGCATAGGACCCAGGTTCGATTTCCAGCACCCACATGGCGGCTAACAACTGTCAATAAACTCCAGTTCCTGGGGAATCCAACGCCCTCTTCTGACCTCTGCAGGTATTGCCCAACATGAGTGCACTTACATGCGTGGAGGCAATACACTCATACACATAAAATGAAAAATAATAAAATATTTTTAAAACCAAATAAAAAATATATATGAACACATTAAACTAGAAAAAGTATTCTGTCTCAAGACCTCAGAGATATTTCATTGGGTTCAGAAAGATAACCAGCAGAAGAACTCCTGAGGATAAAACCAGAATCAGGAAGATCCAGGGCTCAGTCCACCACTCCACCCAGCTCAGTAAAACCAGATGATAACAATCCTTTCTCCTCTTAACCCACACCTAAGCATCTGCATCCATTTTGTTCCTTGTGAGTATTTAAGCCGATGCTATCACATCACCTTTCTTCCTTTTCTGCCCTCTGACACCATCAGCTTCCAGCTTCAACATCACCAACTTCAATCTGAAAGAATGAATCTGATTGACTGATATGAGTTGTCCACATGAGGTTTGATCATCACATCATATAAAAATCACTTTAAGGGTCCAATATTTTACACTAGAAAGAATTCTAAAAGGAAAAAGGGGCCTGTGAGACAGCTTAGCAGGTGAAGGCACCAAGCCTCGTGACCTGAGTGTGATGCCCAGGAACCACATAATGGAAGGAAAGGACCAACTCCTAAAAATCGTCCTCTGACCTCCATACATGCCTGCACTCAGAAACCACACACACACACACACACACACACACACACACACATGCATACACACACGCTAAAAACGAGCAAGATGACACCAGACACGTTCAAAGTTGACTTCCTATTTAAACACTAATAACCAAGTTCTTGCAAAGCCTGAGCATATATTTTGACATTCTTCAATGCCTCTTTTCTCCCTCTTCTCTCTGAAATGTTTTTCTCAATGCATTTGCCCTCTGATTTCTTGTTCACAGTGAAATCTTGATTAAAGGCTAGAATCTCAAGGGATCATGCTCAGGAGAAACTCTGGAACTAAAGAAAATCCTTGTCCAGCCAAAGCTCTCTTACAGTGTGGAGTCTGTAAGGTTTTAGTTGAGTGACAATATCTGATTTCCTAGGTGCTGGTCATCTATGGACCATAGTCTTCTCAGATGATACTGACTGTTCCTTCCTTCTCAACCTGTGGTCTGCTATCATTATTCTATATTGAGAATGATTTTGTGTGAGTATGTGTAGGTGTTGTTTATGTGTGTTCATTTGCACATATGTGTGCAAGTGTGCATGCACATAGGTATATGTGTGTGAAAGCCAAAGGAAAATCTAGAGTGTTACCCTCAGTAACACCAGCTACTTCCTTTGAGAAAGGATCTCTCACTGGTCTGGAACTTACTAATTAGGCTAGACTGGCTGACCAGTGAACCCCAGAGTCACTGCCTTTCCAGAACTGGGGTTACAAGCAGATGCCACCACTTTAATGACTGAGCTATCTCCCCAGCCTCTAGAATGATTTTTATTACATCCCCTTACTCTGTATCCAGCCTGCCAGCTCTGGCTTGGGTGTGGTGCATAGTGGGAGCCCTTTACCCTGAAGAGAAAGCTATATTGTATCCTCAGTGTGGAATCTGACTCCCTCCGCCCCATCCTTTCTGCATGCTGCATGCCCACCCCACCCCCTACTACTGAAGGTGGTGCAGAGCTAAGCACTTCACACAGACAGCCCTGCCAACCTGCCAACCCCAGACCCCACCATCTGACACCAAGAGCCAAGCACCTCAAACAGGTAGCAAGGCCCACCAGGGAATCCCAGATCCCACCACTGAAGAAAAGTACAGAGCTGAGCGCCTACCACAGGCCTCCTGATTACACATCCAACTTCCCAAGATCTGCTATCCCCAACATTGGGTTGACCAGAGTTTACTCAGTGTAAATCCCTAAGGTGAGTATGTCTCCAAGGATCCAAGATCTTCCACTAGGCTCCACATCTTAAAGGTGCCACCACCTCACAGAAGTACAACCTTGGAGATCAAGGTTCTAACATCTCGGCCTGGGTCTGGGACATTAAGGACTCGGGTCACAGCACTCCATCTGCAGCCTTGCTCCTATCACCTGTTGAAAGAAGATCCCTGAAGAAAGGGAATTACATTCTGTGTTATTTCAGCATTAAGTTCAACTTGTACAATAACAGAGGATGTCTTTCTATCACCTGAGAGGGAATTTTTCTCAAGATTAAAGTCATTAAAGCAGTTTAACAGGGAGCAATGAGTCCAGTGGAGTATGCATTTTTACATGATTACTTTGGAGCATGAGAGCAGAGTGTGTTAAAGGGGAAATTCACAAATGCTTGGATGAGTTCCTTCTTTCTAGAACTTGGTGAATTACTAAACAAGGGAGAAGGTGAAGAAAAGGGGGCAATGAAGAAGGATTCCTGGGATTTTAACCAGGCAAACTGGACTGTTATGGTTCCAGTACTTTCTGAGCAGAGTGGATTTATAGGTGGGGCTATTGAGTGTCCCTCAATGGTCATGTTCATTCAGGTTAATTGCGCTGGTACCCATGCTAACTGCTAAATATTAATGTCTGGTATATTTAATATTACTATAACACTTAAGTAAGTAGTTGGGTAATTAAGTTTAAATCTAGACAAAGGTCAGGGTTTAAAAGGTAGTTTAGGAAATTATCTACCCAGGGAATTATTGAGACAGCAAAGAATGTATAAGGAATGGGAGGGACATCATGTTGGCTGAGGATAGGTCCTTGAAGAGTGATGATACTTAAGAGTTACAAAGAAGGGCTGGGCATGGTGGCGCATGCCTTTAATCCCAGCACTCGGGAAGCAGAGGCAGGCGGATCTCTGTGAGTTCAAGGCCAGCCTGGTCTACATAGTGAGTTCCAGGACAGCTGGGGCTGCAGGGAGACCCTGTCTCAAAAATCAAAAAAAAAAAAAAAAAAAGAGTCACAAAGAGGAAGGAGAGCCCATGAATACTCTCGAGAAAGAAAGGCAGATGGTGTCAGGAAGACAGACGAGAACGATAGAGAAAGAAGTGCTCAGCACTGCCAAGCAGAGCCATAAATAACACCTGAGAAGGACATTTTGTGCCAGAACATTTGAGGGCATGTTTCCCCATCCCACTCCCCCCAAAAATTCAGTTAAACACTTGGAGATAGAAAACTGATAGCTGTTGGTGTATAATAACAAATGGAGGCTAGAACCAACTAACACAGTCTAGTCTTCCAATAAATATGAGAAAGGGAAGGGGTTTTTTAAAAAAGGTACAGATTCAGGAGTGAGGCTTATGAGGGAGGGAAGGGCTTGTATATACAACTATTCATGTATTCTGCCTGCCAGGAGTCCCCTCACCAGCTACACATGCCTCATTTCTTGTTAAAAGAACTCGACAACATATTCTAAACACATAATAACTGTGACCTAAATACTAGGACAGGGATTATGATTGTCCAAAAACGTCTTCTTCCAGTTCTCTTTATCTATGTCAATTGGAATATTTAACTTTGCTAATTCTGTCTATCCCGATCTTCTATGAGAAAGCCTATTTGTTATTCAGCAAATGTTCACTGTCTTTCTGCCTCCTCTATCCCCAAGGGCAGATTACAGATTTCTGCTTCATTGAAGCTGAACACAATGCCTATCTAACATAATGCCTACCCACTGAAATGTAAGTAGGTATGATGCCAACAAAGGATTTTGACATGCTTGACTGGTTTGATTTGATTTATGATGTATCTGCCACACTTAGGAGAAGAGCACACCCTTTGAGAGCCACTGTGCTCAGAATAGAAACTATGATAAGCAGAGGTAAGCCCAGAGGCCACCAGACAATCTGAAGACCCATGGAAGGAAGATAAATGTATGTGGTGGTGGTATAAGTCACTAACATTGGAAAGTTGTCTCATGTTATCATAGCAATAAACACTTGATAAAACTTAATCTCCCTTTTATCAAAACAAATCTCAAGTACTTGGCAGCAACTATATTCAAATATGAGTTAGCACTGATAACAATATATATTTTCATTGTATTTAGTTTTATTTGTTGTTGGCACGTAAAACTGACTTTTAAATTGGCGTTGAGATAGAAGATTGAAGTGACATAGCTTTCCTTTTTAAAAAGTATTTGGGGATCTCAGGATATTGCCCAGCGATAAAGCCCTTCCCTTCCATGTGTACAGAGCCTTGGTTTCTATTCATAGCACTGAAAAA